ATAGGTCTTCAAACAACCCACATACCAGCTTTCACTTTAAATTCTGTGTTATCTCTTTAAGAAAAACCAAATGAGTGCTTTGAATTTGTGCAATACCAAAAGTCTTCAAGACTCTCTCAGGTTTTTCAACAACATGGCTATCCATCTTTAACATATATTGCTTATGAAGAGAGTTGTTTTGTTTTGTTTTTTAGTTTCAAATAATTAAAACTTTTGTGAGTTAAGATATGATGTCCCTTCCATCTGGAAACTTCCTCCTTAGCCCTGTTCCAGGTTCTGGGACGTGGGCTGGCCCTCGGAGCTGAGCTTGTATTGAAATAAAGGACCTTTTGTGTACCTGTAGCTAACCCTGCCTGGCTGGGATAAAAATAGTCCAAGGCTTTGACCATTTTTTTTTTTAAAACCGAAAGCCACTCAGAATGCATCCTCTCCCTCTTCTCCCCCGAGAGAGAGAAGAACGATCATCAATGGCAAGCGGCAGTTGCCGAAGCAACACCGAGAGCCGGCTTCACGCTCAGGAGAGAATCCTGCATCTCCTCCCCGTGGTTTCGGGTGCTCTACACGTTCAGAGAAACTTCTCTAGTAACGAACTATAGAAATGATCCCTGAAAGTATAGTCTTTAGGCTTTGACCATTTTAACTGTATAGGAAAAGCATTATTCCGAGAGGGTCTGGCCTATTTCTGAGCCCTTTCATCATTGGCCACAGTAAGTTATCCTGGGCTAAGAGTTATTGAGTATTTATTATGTTAATTTACTGTGCCTGCCTGGCATGCCGGTAACATTTAAATTTTATAACATCCTAAAAGATACACATTTATTATCTTGATTTTACACACAAAGAAAGGGGCTAAGAGAAGTCACCTAACTGTTCCAGACTTTCACAAACCTAAGTCTGGACCCAGGTCATCTGACTACAGAGCCCTCACCCTTATCCGTTGCCCTAAATGCTCTGACAATAAGTCTTTTTTAAAAATATTTTTTTACTGATTTCAGAAAGGAAGGCAGAGGGAGAGAGAGAGAAACATCAATGATGAGAGAGAATCATTGATCAGCTGCCTCTTGCATGCCCCCTACTGGAAATCGAGCCCACAACCCAGCATGTACCCTGATCAGGAATTGAACCATGACCTCCTAGTTCATAGGTCAACACTCAACCACCGAGCCACACTGGCAGGGCATCTGACAATAAGTCTTATAGGAAATGGAACAAATACTGCAATCAGCATATAAACAAGTGCTCTCTGACAAGAAGTCTTATGGGAAATGGAGCAAATACTGCAATCAGCATATAAACAAGTGCTCTCAAAGCCAGGCCCCTGGCTGGCAGGGTTCTTGTGTAGCCACTCAGTCCTGGAGAGGTGCTGAGTGCTTGTCCCTGCCCTGGACACGCAGGCTGTGTTCCTAGAGATCAGGCCTGTGGATGCATTTCCGTTCTCTGACCTGCACTAACAAAGCCCTCTGCGTGTTTCTTGTGTCTTCCAGTTGACCGTCCTCCAATGGAACCCTCCCAGTTTGTCTCAGTTGTCCCTAAATACCCAGACAAGATGGGATTTGATGAGGTAGGAAAGGTGTCTATATGGGTGTGCATGTGTGTGCAAGGGTTTAACATGCTTGTATGTTTATATCAATGCACAGGCCTGAGCATAGGTCTGGGAGCCAACAAGATGGGCTTGGCTACTGAAAAGAAACTGAGGTCTTCGGAAAAATTACTCACTTTTTGTTGTGCCTGAGTTTTCTTATCTTAAAAAAGGAGCATCATGGTAAAAGTGTATTAATCACTCAGTCGGAAAGAAACTACTGTGGAGTGGTGAAAGTGAATTTGATGTGTTTTTTTTCTAAAATATTGCCACAGTTTATCAACCTTTTTATCAAGACTCCAGGGTAACGTAAAGAGGATATGTGTTTTCGGGATTAGAGAACTTGAACTTGACTCTGAGTGGGTGGAAACTGTGCTGGACCACTCTGAACTTTATGTTCTCTCCGCTGTTCTTCCAAGGAAAAAGGTTGGAGGGTAGGGTTGAGAGGACAAAGGAAAAAGAGAACGAAGAAACTGTTCTAAAATTCTGCCTTTCCCCAGACAAGCATTTCATAATAGCTCGCTGAGGGCCATGTTTGTCAGTAAGTTTCAATTGCATAAAGAATGAAGCAGAAATATAAATAGATGCGTCTCTTGGTAATATGCCCAACATATATGATACTTGGCAGGGCCAAGTCACTGACTCCTCCATGGTTCCTCATGTCTTGTATTCAGGAACTTGGTGGTCTAGAGGCGAGTCAGGAATCCATACACTGGGTGCTTTCTCACAGAATCTGGATAGGTTATAGGCCAAGCTTTGTGCTCTGTGCCCATTGCGGCTGTTCCATTGAAAGGAAAGTCCTTATTTATCACCTGGTATCATATAATGCATGTTCCCTAAGTACTGCCATGTAAAGAGCTGCTGGCACTGGGAAATGGGCTTCTGTCTATAAAATTGACTTGGAGCTGAACTTCTGGGATGGGAAGAAGTCTTTCATGACTTATCAAGTGGGAAAGAGCACTACTAAGCAATTTCCACAGAGGGCTGAATGAGGAGAGATGATTGGAAGCGTGGGAGAGAGGACTTGAAGTATAAATGGCTTTAAAAACCATCAGGCTGCAGAGAATGTTGGTCTGCACCGTGCACTGAACGGGCTCCCGTGTGTCACTGTAGCTTTCCTCCCCTGGAGCTCCTGGCTCTCCAGGTAAAAGAGCCTGTGTCTTCACATATGTCATCTTCCTTCTATAAACACATTCCCTTTAGGACCAAACAGAAGCAAATAAACGGGACAGGGACAGGATCTTCTAGCTCTGGTCTTGCATTTGGATGTGGGTATGATGACTGGGTCACTCGTAGTTGCCTTCTGAAAAGGGCTCCTCTAGGAAGTGACACAGCCTCAGGGACTTCACTCCTGGGCCCAGGGTAATCTTCTCTCTGTCCTGAATAGGATGATGGAAAAAAAGATTTTCTGGGCCTTTCCAACCCCTCCCAGGACTCTCCGACCTCGGTGGTGGTGTCTGGGTTGCATTTGGCTATGTGGCTCTTTCTCTGTTTACCGTGCACTAAGTATGAGCGAGCTGTCTGTGTTTTTCCTTCGTGGCTGCAGTTTTTATTGCACTTGTCCTGGGAGGAACTGGGACAGGCTTGTTATTTCCTAAAGTCATCCCAGGCCAGAGGTCTTTGGTGTGAGGGGACTTTTTTGTTGTGTTTCTGTTGAGTTTTTGTTTTGTGGTTTGCTCTCCTGGAGTGACCCCAGGTAGCTCCTTGTGTGCCACAAGCAATGCCCTTCCCATATCTGTAAAACGAAGGGGTGGAATATGGCCCATCGCAGTATGAGTCTACTACCCAGGAAGAAAATGAAATATGAAAGAACACCACCCATCAAGTTGTAAAATCACCAGTCACAAGGCAAATGGTCACCATAGAAACTGTGTTTTTTAAAAATAATTACCCAGTTAGGTAAACAAAGGAGGTGATGAAATCATGATGTGCCTGACACACTTCGCCTGAAATCAAGTGGACGATTTTTTAAAGAGGTCATCTTGCCCCCCACCCTCACTTTCTTTGCCCAGAGCTTTATACATGGATAGAAATGAGAATATTTTGTAAGGAGGAGTTGCAGTTTTAGTTAGTGTAGCTTTTTAGCCCAATAAATCATATAACGTCGATAAACACACTCAGAATGACCGTATGAACCAAAGTTTTACCCAATCTAGTCTGAAGTGCAGGCTGGTTATAGTTACTTCTTTATTCCAGACATAGCATAAGGCAACCCTCTTATAAAGCATGAATCATAGACATTTTCCTCTGTCCTGGACTTGAGAGATGAGTTTGTTCAACTCCCTCTTTTTACAAACAAGTGTCTGGACCCTGTAACATGAAATACCACCTCAGTGGTTAAAGAGATAGCCAGCATCATCCGACTCACTCCTGTAGGTTTCTCCTTTTCCATGCCATGTGTCAATCATTTCTTGCTGGCAGCTGAAGTCTCCCTCACTTTGAGGACTAAGTGGGTTTATTACTGCCCATAGGAGAGACCTTGTTAATATATTAATTTACCTATAATAGCATTCATGAGGCTTTAGGTCCTTCTGTGGCCCCTTAAACATGGGAATAGTTAGGACAGCATCATTATCTGTAACTTCCTGTTATGGCCTGGTAATGCGTATGTGTCTAGTGCAGCCATCAGGAATGTAGGGATAACGTGGGTGCACAGGTGGACCCAAGCCCTCGTGGGGGATGATCTGAGTGCACCTTCTTTGGGACCAGTAGGAGTTCTCTCTATACCTTTTCCCACAGATCCACATGGAAATTTAGTTTCACTTAAGCCTTTCTTTCCATCTCTCCCATCTCTCTTCCTCAAAGGGCTACCCCTGAGGCCATGGCTCCTTCCTTTACCTCCTTCAGAAAAATGCCCTTATCTTTAGGGAAGTTGAATTTTGACACAGAAGCTACTAAAATTGAGACCTTGATCATTACGTTTGGAACCTTTGGAAATAAAAGGAATGTGTTAAAACTAGATTTTTCTTATTCTTTGACTTTAGACAGAGGATATACATTATAATAATAGCTGGTACTTAGTACCCATGAGACAGGACCATTATTATCCTAGTTTTACAGATGAGGAAACTGAGGCAGAGGAACTGATCTGAGGCAAACACTAGTAAATAACAGGATGGGAACTCAGGTCTGCTGACGAATTTAACCACTTGCTAGGCTGTCTCCTGCCCCTTAGTGCCCATGCCTAGATTTAAGTCACCATTAGCCTCGCGGAGAGCGACTTTTTCAACTTTCCTGTCTCAAAAACAAGGTGGAGGTGTTCACCAACGAACATCAGAGAAACAGGGAGGGTTAAGTCACCACAAATGGCTCAGTTTTTAAAGTGAGTCCATCTGGATTCATGTCATTTGACCTGATATGAAACATAAACTAATCTCCAGTTTCCACTCCCTCTCCCAACTGAAACTTTAAAATGTTGATGCTACATTTACTTAAATTCTCAAACAGCCTAAAAGAAGACTTGAATCATCTGTGTTTCCTTCTCCTTTTCTCCCTGCGTTAGATTTTCATGATAAATCTCAAACGCAGGAAGGACCGGCGGGACCGCATGCTACGCACCCTGTATGAGCAGGAGATCGAGGTCAAGATCGTTGAGGCTGTGGATGGAAAGTGAGTTGGGTTTACCTTTGCAGATAGGGTTGGAGTGGGGATGTGTCCTATCTGATGGTGTAGTCCTGGGTGAGGAGAATCTGTGGTCATTGGAATATAGACACATTTTTATAACAGCCCCGTGCAGCCTACCTGGGGAGACATTATGACTCATAGTAGCACAGGAGTTAATTTCACCATGTAGATCTGGACCACAGTCCACTCACCGTCCAGCCATCTCTGCTCTTCATGACGCTGAAGGCTCACGCCAGAAGTGATGTTCCCGTCTCTGGGGTTCTTGCAGTGGTTGGTGTGGTTCCCACCTTCCTGCAGTGTATTGGAAAGAATGCGTTCAGAGTTGCGTTCAGACCCTGATTTTGAGCAAAGTGTCTACTAGTAAACTTGGGCGACCCAACGAAAATGAATGGAAAAAGTTCATAATGGTCTGTGTATGCTGTCGCATGAGATGCTGGCCACAGTCCGTCTGGGCTGATCGCTTTGCTGAGAATGGCAGGCAAGTCACATGGGGCACATGTTAGCTCCCTTCATGGGGGTTTGTTATTGCTGTTGTTATTTTCTTTTGCTTTGCTTTGCTTTGCTTTGACCTTTTATTGGACACCCTCCTTCAAGGCATGGATTTTTGCAAAAACTGCAGTTCTAATGTTATCTGCATGCCTCTAAGGAGGATGGTTAGAAGCTGTAGTGAGAGTTCTTATGACTCCTTTAGAAAATCCCATCAGTGTTTCTTGAAGTGTGGCCGGGACACCCACAGCAGAGTCCCGAGGGGCTGGGAAGGGGACTTAATGTTCCTATTTGCCACTTTCCTTCATGAGGAAAATACTTTTCGAAGTTGTCAAAAAAGTGATGATACTTAGAGCTGTTGGGCATTATGAGGGATACACCAACTACAAGACACCCTCTGCTCTCCACAAAGCTTATAAGACCCCCCAGGACACATGACCCCGGGAGCTCCTAAGGAGTTATGGGAAACCTGGGACGTTTTTCTCAAGGTGCGTGAAGGCTCTGGCGGACACACAGAACTCTCTTTCTGGCTTCCGTGGTGGGGACATCTCGCCTTGTTCATTTTCATGTGTGTTCTCTGTCACACAGGGCGCTCAACACCAGCCAGCTGAAGGCCCTGAACATTGACATGCTGCCTGGGTATCGAGACCCCTACTCCTCCAGGCCTCTGACCAGGGGTGAAATCGGCTGCTTCCTTAGCCACTACTCTGTCTGGAAAGAGGTCAGTGATGCTTTATGTACATGTGCATTTTGTAATGAGGAGGAGGGAGAGTGGGACTTGGTGCGTGAATGAGGGCCAGGTGTAAGGTGAGCCCCTCCCTGTTCTGGAAGTACACTTGGAAGTTGCAGTTGCTCCGTATCTTCCTCGGACGCAACGCCAGCCACAGACAAGGAGGGGTAACCTTGGGGCCCTTGGGACAATGACAGGGGAAGACGCCCATGTTCTTAGGGCCACACTCCTGCAGATGCTTTCTCATCCTTAGTAGGGAGGCCTTGCATGTGTCTAGCATGTCATCATTTTGTAAGTGACTTCAAACAAGAAGACCCACCGAAGTCACATGTGGTGGGTCAGGAGGGATGGGCCCATTTTATCCAAGAGGAAATAAACATGTTGTCTGAGCAAGAAGTGGCAGAGCTAGGACTTGAACCCATATCTTACAGATGAGATGATGGGGTGGTATTGGAGTGTGGGGTTCTTGATCAAGGTTCAGTTCTCACAAGAAAAGGAAAAGGCTCTGAAGAAGGGCCCCTTGAATGCCTTCTCTCTTTGAATGATCCAGTCTAGGCCTGTCTTTTCTTTTTCTTTAAACTTTAAATGAGACATAAGAGAAATGTATAAAAATATGTAGATTGTAAAACACGAGCCAATGAAATTTCACGGACTGAACCAATGTACCCACGTTAACCAGCACCCAGATCCTGAACAGATTGCCAGCCCACAGATGCACCCCCTCTTCATTTCCTTCTCGTCACTGTCCCCCCAGTAATCACCATCCTGACTTTTAACGACAGCAAGAGTAGTTTTGTCTTCTTTTGTACTTTTTAAAAAAATATATGAATAGAACCATAGGGTATGTCCCATCTCTCAACCTTATGTTTGTGAGATTCATCTAGAACATTTAATTTGATGGTAGATCATACATTCTTATTGTTGTAAATATGCCACAGTCTATTGATTCATTCTACTGTTGACTTAGAACCCAGTTATGAGCTTTTACATATGCTACTAAACTCCTTACGTTTTAATACTGATTTGTCTAATAAAAAATACATATTGCCCTAACCGGTTTGGCTCAGTGGATAGAGCATTGGCCTGCGGACTGAAGGGTCCCAGGTTCAATTCCGGTCAAGGGCATGTACCTTGGTTGCGGGCACATCCCCAGTAGGGGTATGCAGGAGGCAGCTGATCAATGTTTCTCTCTCATTGATGTTTCTAACTATTCCTCTCCCTTCTCTGTAAAAAATCAATCAAATATATATTTTTTTAAAAAAAAAATAAGTATTGATTATTTCATAGAGTGTCTTCCCACTGATGACCTTCGCAGGTGATTGACCGAGAGCTGGAGAAGACTCTTGTTATTGAGGATGATGTGCGTTTTGAACATCAGTTTAAGAAGAAGCTGATGAAACTGATGGATGACATTGACCAGGCTCAGCTGGATTGGGAACTGATGTGAGTGACAAGACAGCCTTATCAGAGAGCTCCGAGAGGCACTGGGTCCTGTCCAGGGGCAGCGAGCCCCACCTCCCCCCTGGTAGGAGATACACCCCAAGCTTCCACTGATTCTCTCTCCATAAACATTACCAGAAACCAAAGAAATAAGCAGAGGATAGCCACTGGTTCTGCATGTGTGTACTCTGCAGGGTGAGGAAGGGACTGCGGGAGACTCTTTATGAGACCTGGGTCAGCCTGCAGATCAGGGGCCTTCAGACAGAGCACTCACTCGGGAGCTCCGCAGACACCCCGCCCTCGAAGCACGTGGCCCATGGAGAGGGTTTATTCCAGGGCAAGAGTCCTGGGTCACATTGGACCTGGGCTCCCAAAGAGCAGGTTCCCTCCATGGGTGTGGGAGACTGAGCAAGGGGAGGACATCTCTGTGGGGAGAGGAAGCTGTGCAGCAGGGAGAACACCGGAAGCGGGGTTTGGGGGAGGGTCAGAGGCTGTTGCAGGAAAACCAGGTTCACCAAAGGACTGGTGGCTCTGAACTGACATTAATGAGTTAACAATGGGTTAGTGCTCATTGTCTGCCACCTCTTGGAATTGAGTGTTCGTTCTCTCTCTCTCTCTCTCTCTCTCTCTCTCTCTCCCTCTTCGCTCCCTCCCTCCCCCCCCCGCCCCCCCTCCCTCCCTCTCTCCCTTCATTTCTCTCTCCCTCCCTCTCTACTTCCTCCTCCCCCCTCTCATTTTCTTGTTAATCCCAAATGACACATCTCTTTTCTCCATGAGGCAGAAAGTTCCCAAGCCCTACGTTCTCCCCCCAGCTGTGTGTCACGGGCAATCCCATCCCATCAGAGCCTGTCCCTTTGGAGCACCTGCTTCAGACAGGCCGTTCCGCCCCTCCCATCCTTGGAGGGAAAGCCAGCTATGGGCCCAGGCGGAATACTTGTTCTCTCAGAAAAGGCACCCTTCTGAGCCTAAGAGCAACCTAGCAATGGCTCCACTGACCCGTGGGAAATAGACCCAGCAGTCGGCACAGTGTAATTGAGAGACGGCTCCCTGTCAGACAGCAGCTGTTAAGATGCTCATGGAGAACAGGGCCTGCTTGGTGCCTTTCTCAGAGCAGAGCACGCAGGGGGAAGTGTGGGCAGAGCTAGGTGCCTGTGAGGCGCTGGCATCATCCTCCCCAGAAAGAGCCTTCCGGGGGCCACTCCGGCAGACTGCTTCTTTCCCACAGCCGGTTCTGTCCTGTGTTTACCACCAGCATTTGGAGCGCTTGCAGACAACACAGCAGGCTGAAACTCGGGGGACTTGAACATAACAAACTGGATTCTCACATCTGGCCTTTTGTGTCCCTTGCAAACCCTGTAAACACAGCTGGAAATCCCATACCACCTTTGGGAAATGATCTGAAAAGACCTTTCATCTCTTTACATCTTAACTTTCTGGCTTAAACACGGTCTCCTAGACAAGAGTAGATGGGATGCCAATAAATGGAGCCAGGGAAATGGCCCCACTGATGGCAGGTGACAGTCACAGTTGGTGACAGATGTGACGTGCTATGCGGCCTGATGCATTTAATATACGACACAGTGGGTGCAAGCTTTCAAAAGTGTCTACAAAGCCGTGTCCCATTCCTAGGGATGTCTGGCATTCCAATTGGAATTTTCTCCTCTGCCCACTTCCTTTTAGTTATATTGGTAGGAAGAGGATGCAAGTAAAAGAGCCGGAGAAGGCGGTGCCCAACGTGGTCAACCTGGTTGAAGCCGACTACTCCTACTGGACGCTGGGCTACGCCCTCTCTCTGGAAGGAGCACAGAAGCTGGTTGGAGCTGATCCTTTTGGGAAGATGCTGCCAGTGGACGAGTTCCTGCCAATCATGTACAACAAGCATCCTGTGTGAGTTGCCCTGAACTCCCTGCCCGTCCCGTGAGCACGGTGCATTCGTGAGCCAGCCTACTCAGTTTCTGGGCAGTACTTGGTATTTTCTAACGGTGCACTGCTTTCCTAGATGATCTTTCCATAATCAAGACCCAGGGAGGTTGACTCGAGTGATTATCCCCTTATGGGGAAGGTGAAGCAGAAATGGTGTCTTGCATAGGGGTCCCCTTTAATACCCAATGTGTAATTTAAATGGACATAATCTGCTCTGTCCTCTCCTTGTCTTTGATCTCCTTACTTCCATGAACTCATACACCTCAAGGTGAAGGTCATCTTCCTAAGCATCTCAAAATTTTCAACTCATTTCTCAGTCTGTTGTGGGTCCTGTTGGCCAGGCAGTGGCTCACAGCCTAGTCGAGAGCACAGGCCCATGAACAATCACCATGATATACTGTGCTACCTGTGATCATGGAGGTGTGTTAGAGAATCAGGGAAAGGCAGGTGGCCTCTGGGGTGGATCCATGGGAGAAGGCAGCATGAGGCTCAGGGATGCTATAGCCCAGGAGTTGACTCTGACCAACACTTATCAAAGGGTTTGGTAATTGATGGTTTACTTGTCAGTCTCCCCAATAACCTGTGAGCCCCTCAGGTAGGCACAGTCTTACATCTCTGTGTCTTTAGAGCCTCGGCCAAACTCTATGCATATTTGCTGTTCTGTCAATGATTCCTAAATTCCTTAATGGAGCAGGAGACCAGGTTCTAACCTTGGCTCCTCTCAGTTGCTGGGTTATCTCCTCGAGGAGATGGTCTCCATTTTAGCGGTTAAGAGTTCCTGACCTCCATCCTCATTTTATCTCATTGCCCTCTTTTATACAACGTATTAGACTCACTTTATCTCTGAATCCTGAAGAAACAGGGAGGTCAGCCATCATCCCCTTAACAGAAAGGACAGGAGCGCCTATGGGGCACGCACTGATGGAGGAGCCGAGCAGATGTCACCTCACATAATCTGCACCAGAGCCCTGGGAGGGAGGTCAGGTCATCTCTCAACTTTACACTCACAGGGATCTGCAATACAAAGCCACGCTGGCCTGCCTCCAAGCCTACGCTAGTTCACTCACTCCTTCACTGCTGTCCAGATCCTGCTGCTAATTCTACTCTAGCAACAGGGCATTTTCTACAGTGATCACATTTATGTATTATTACGGTCCCACACAGAGCTTAATTCTTAACTTTCAGAGTAAGAGCTGAAATTCATTCTAAACCAGTCTATCCAAATACAACAGAAATATCCTGACTTTGTCTATGTATTTGCTTAGCTCATCCGAAAGCTTCTAAAGAATCTTTATTGTATTTATAGACTAAAGTTTTCCACAAAGGACACAACTTAAAAGATAATCAGATGAGTCCCTGACCATTGAAGAGGTAACAAGCAGGGCCCCTCTCCCTCTCCCCCTGTTCTGTGAGCGCCCTGCCCCCTCATGCCTGTGCCCCTCTTGTTTTCAGAGCTGAGTACAAGGAGCATTACAAATCCAGGGACTTGAAAGCCTTTTCTGCAGAACCCTTGCTCATCTACCCCACACACTACACAGGCCAGCCGGGGTACCTGAGTGACACGGAGACCTCGACCATCTGGGACAATGAGACAGTGGCCACTGACTGGGACAGGACACATTCCTGGAAGTCCCAGAAGCAAGGCCACATCCACCACAATGCCAAGAACACAGAGGCCCTGCCACCGCCAACCTCCCTGGACACCGCGCCTTCGAGGGACGAGCTATGAAGGCTCCACCCGGACGGCATTCACCACCCTTTGGTTTCTCTGATGGGCTGTCCATCTGTTTGCCTCGGCTTCTTCCTATGGTCACAGTCATCTAACCCAAGTGATTGATCCAAATTAATACATTTTTGAGAGGGGAGGGGAAATTAGAAAATTAAAACCCAAATTTCCTAGGATGGCTAGAAGGTAGGCTTTATTGCGCCCATTAAGATAAACTTTAATGTAGACGCCTAGTCCTTTAATTACCCATTGATACTGATTCTCACATTAAGGTTGAAAGTATGGCTCAGAGACTTGTCCAAGAGGAAGGTGATCACCACAGTGTCACATCAGTGAATGGGTGGGCAACCTGCCACGCCCACTGAGGCCACGTCCATTGGTCTAGTGAGCCCATTTCATGTCATAGGTGTGACCTTAACAAGTTTTGGGGGGATCAAATAGTTTAAAATCAAATTGGGCTTTTTGTTGAAAGGAATTGTCATGAGCCTTATTGCAAAGCGAATTTTCTATCCAAGTCCTCGCTGTCCAACAGGGATGGGTGTTGGGTCTGTCTGAGCCTTGGCCTTTGACTATCGTGGCAGCCGGAGCTCTCGTAATGAGGCTCCAGTGGGCCATGTGGGTAGCTTAGTAGATATTTGGGGGTTTGTGTAACTATTTGAGGAAAAAAGAACTCAAACTTTGGCCTTTTTATTGTGGTCATTGGAATTAAGATGCTCTATTTATGAAGATAAATTTAATATATAAGGGGGGAGGGCTGGTTCTGACTTCTGTCCCAGGGTTTCAGCACGTCAGACGCTCCCCTCCACCCCTGCATGGGAATGAATTGCAGGTGTAAGTTTCATGAGTTACTGTTAAGAGGCAGCAACTGTCCTTGCCCAAGTTTCAGTCTAGTTTGAATTATTTATTTTACAAAGTAAGGGGGGGATATCTGTGTGATAAGGCAGAGAAACAGATGTTTTGAACTTCATCGTGTTTGAAGACTAAACACAATGGCACCCTGGGGAGCGGTCAGTGTAGACACATCGGTTCAATCGTCCGGTTCTCCTGCATTTCCCAGACAGACTCATGCCGAGTGGGAGATTCTAACCGTCCGGAAACAAGTGATCCAGGTGAGAGACGTTGGTCAGAAACAACGGACTGAGCAACTGATTGAGGCCAACCACCAGGGAAGCTTCAGGTGGAGTCAGGATCTGGACAACCTCTGCTTTCTCCAGATGGATTTTCTGTCGAAGGCGGAGTTGGACTGCATCATCTCTTCCAGCTCCACCGTCTGTGATCTCCAGCTGTCCCTTGACAGTTTGCTTCAGGTTTATGTTCTGGTGCCGCAAACAGTAGAGCTTCGCCTCTGGAATAGCCTCCCCAGCATTCTGTGCGCACACTCAGTGACCTGATGTTCGAGCAGAACCCATGGGCAGGGCTGCTGCGTGTGACAGCTGGGTGCTCCCTGGTGAGGGCCCGGCTGCAGGACAAGGCAGCTCGCCTTCCACAGAATAGCAGTCTTGGCCTCCCTTCTTGAATTACCGCTGATAATCCTCTACATAGACTAGACTAATAAGCCAGGAAACTGAGGCTGACTCCATTTTTACTGCTTAGACAAACCATCAGAGCTTGACTCTTTTTTTCTAGAAACAAAACAGGAAGAGCACCTGGAGAGCTTGTGAAAACTCCTTAGGTGATCCCGAAGGTTCCTTGGGTGTCTTGTATTTTGTTCGTGTATTTTAGTGTGTGCGAGTGTGTGTAACGTTCATAATACTCTTTAATGGGGTGGGAGGTGGCTGGGGTATTGGGAGTGGAGGAGGACTGAGTTGTTTGTGTGGTTTTGTTTAATAGAGAACATTTTTTTTTTTTTTGCCTCCATCAGCTGGTCTGATGGGTTTCCGAATTCCCATTCTTAAAAGACATTGGTCTTAAACTCTAGAATTTTAGCTTAGGGCTGTTGTACTGTGAAGAAAGTTCTGGCTCTCTTAGCCCAGCCATTGCCTTTCCCTGCTCAGGTCTGGAATCCCAAGCGATGTTCCTTTGTTGTGAACATTGCGAACTGCAGACCCAGCATTCCTTTAAAAAGTTGTCTCTTCAGCAACCCAGGGCTTCCTTGACCTCATCGTTCTTTCCGCCTCCCCTCTAGTCTTGAGTCAAGAATTCTGACCTTTGCAGTGTCAGAGGCTCTGCCTCCAACCGTGGCACCTGTTCTCTGCCTCTGGCCATCAAACCCCACCTGGATCCCCGGTCTGGATCTTGGGATCTGAGGTGGAATCTTCTGGACAGACGATGGTGACCTCAGTCATGCTAGTGCTGCTGAGTGTGGGCTGAGCGACCACGCTTGCAGAGGACACACCGCATGGTCTTTCTGTGGGGTCCCTGGGCCCCTGCGGGGACTCTTTACAATGATGAAGAGCCAGCATCCCAGCGCCCTACCCTGTCTGTCATGCTGTGTCATTTCCAGAGAGGATGTGATAAACTACTACTTGCCTTCTAGAGCTCTTTGTGAAAAATTAAAAAAAAATATTTTGGCTCAATGCTATGATTGTTCATTGGTTCTTCCAACATGATCAATGGCCAATGTTGGGATGTTCAGGTTTGCTCTCAAACAAATTTGTCGGAGGCCAGAGAGAACCATCACGGCTGCGTGATCCTCACAGCAAACGAAAGAGGGTGGCCCCTGACCTTCCTGCCCGGTAGGGGTGGTTTTAGATGGCTGGGTGCAGGTGGGTCAGCTGAAAAATACTGGAGGCTACAGAAAGACTGGAGTCCCCAGTGGGAGGGTGTTGAGGGAGAGGGCATTCACATTTTTGTGCTATAGTTCAGTCTGTTCACCAGAAGGTACTATGACACTTGTCCAAAGCCAAAGAGCTTTATCCTGAGGCAAACAACAACAACAACAAAAGGAGAATCCATCTTAGCCTCAGCAGATCATACTGCCCTCAAAACTTCAAAAACCAGGCTTGAGCACTGCCCTGTTGAGGCCCTGTGCTGGGCACTGAGATGCTCAGAGGACAAGGAGAGACCCCACTGCTGTGATCCTGGAGCAGCCATGAGAGCAGAATGGCCTGCCCTCAGAGGGTGGAACAAAGTGGGCCAAGGACCCAGGGTACCTGGTTCTGCTGGGAGCACTGGGAGGCAGCTCTGCAGGCAGGTGACAGATGTGTTGGCCTGGGGGGCATGAATTCGAGTCTGGATGAGGCAGGAGGGTTGGGCAAGGTGGGTGGGCAAGCTCTCTAGGCACTGGGAGGTGTGGGCTATGGCTGGGATGGGGAGCTGGGGAGGACTGGAGAGGCAGGTATGTGTTGGGGTTGATGACAAGAAACAAGGTTGAGCCCAGATAATGACGGCAAGGCAAGTGGGCTCCCTCCACTCAGGCTGCCTCGTCGGGAATGCAGAGGCCATTGTTTCAGGGGGGATCCTAGGCTTGGTTTCCTGACGGACAGCGCAGAGGTTTCCAGGAAAATGCTGGTGCCTGAAACAGAACGTGCCCACTCACCTACACACTGGGAATCTTTTCACCTGAGGTGGGAGTAAACCCCTCCAACAAGTAACTGTCAAATGCAGGTGCGTGTCTACCAGGTGCTTTTGAGACTTTCTCTCCAGGTGAACAGAGGGGGAGAGAAATGACCCAGAAGGAATTAATTGGCTGAGGAGTTAATGACAAAGAGAGTTGAAATGATAAGAGCATGACATGGGTAGCACAGAACACTAAGAGCAGGCAGCCTTGGAAATCATCACTACACTTCGTGCCGATGTTCATTATTCGGAAAGAACCTTCCTCCCTCAGGACGTTCTGCTTCCATGTGGCCGGGGGAGGAGAGAGCAGTGAAGTGACCCTGTGAGAGGTGACGGCGGCTGAGTCAGTGCAGGGCTGAGAGGACGAAGCGCCTGGCCCGCAGTGGCTGTGTGCCCTTTTGCCTCCTTGGAAAAGAGAGAAATATGACGGTGGGTTCTGGCCCATCATGTTAGACAGATGACAGGGAATGCGGCGCCTCCCCAAGCGCAAAGAGGACAAGGCTCCCATCGCAGCACGAAGAGGTCAGGTGCTTCAGGGAGGGTCGGTTCACAGACTGTCCAACACTGAGGGGGATCCCAGGGCCAGAGCAGGAAGGGCGCCTGCTCTGAGTTGACCTGAAATGGCCTGTGTGCTTCTTCCCACCCACGGATGTGTTAATATTGAGATGATCTTACTCTGGACGCTCCTAGGACACCAGCTGGGCTGCTCCCAGCCCCAAGCCGCCCTCCCGTGTGCCCCGAAAGGGGTGGAAAGAATGAAGAATTGCCTGTGAGCATTGGTTTCCCTGGATGGCTAATTTACTGCGTTTATTCGTGTGCCCCTCCCTGCGGTTTCTTCAGCTTGGCTGCCTCCAGAATGGGCGTTTGAATAAAAATCTCCATGTCCAAGCAGTTCCGGGGCGCAGAGCGCAAGCTTCCCAGCGCCCCCCCCCCCCTGCCGCCCTCCCCCCGCAGGTCCATGGGGAGGCTGGACAGACTTCTGAGCTCTTGCTCATGAGGGAACCTGACCTTCAGAGTGTAGCGGACGGCCCTCTGCCGCCGTCCTTCAGAGCAGCTTAGAAAACAGTGTGACCGAGCGGCCTGTTCTGAAAGAGAAGACCCCCGGCAGGAGGAGCCGCCCAGCGGCTGATGTTCTGGGCTGCAGGGTGGGAGCTGCTTTGAGAACTGCCAACACGGACTGAGGAGATTGGGTGGGGCTGTGATCGTCCTGAGGCAGAGGGAGGAACCCCAGAGCTGAGCGTCAGGGGACAGAGGAGCGCACAGGCTGGAGGGAAATGCAGGAAGGAGGAAAGAGGTGCCTCCAGGCCCAGCACAGCGCCTGGGACAGAAGTGCCAGGACAGGGGAGAAGAGACAGATTCCGGCCCGTCACAGCCTGGCCATGGGCGTCCACACTGCACGGCCTGCAGCCGGCCCGGTTTGTGCGCAGGGCCCCGCGGGCCCATGGGCCCCTCCGGGAGCCTTGGCCTGCGGCTGTGGAACACGCCGGAGCAGCCCTGGCTGCCCTCCAACTCTGAGAGCGTCTTTCCCCAAAGCAGCAGCAGGCCCGTTCCCGGGTGCTGCTCACACATCTGAGTGTTGCCTCTGCAGCAGCGAGTGGCTGCTCAGCAGGGGAGGCGGCTAAAGGGCTGCTGGGCAGACACCGCTGCCCTTACACCGGAGCCTCCCGGTCAGCAGCAGCTGCCCCTCCCCGTGTGCGCCCACGTGCTCTCTTCGCGCGCGTGCACCGCCTTTAATCCCACGTGCACCTCCACAGGTGGGAACTGTCATCATCATCTCCTACTTTTCAGGTGAGGCCACAGCTAAGCGGCTTCACTATGGCAGTCAGTGGCAAAGCCGCTGGTGCAGTCTGTCTTGTTTATTTCTAACATCTAATGTTTCCATCTGTCTCTCTCTGAATGCCTATCACACTCACTCACACACACACACACACAGCCTGCAGCTCCATCCCCTCTGTTCGCTCCCCACCTGTGACCTCTCACGTATTGACTATTCAGTGATCAGACTTGTTGTCTGATGGCCTCTGCTGGAGGCGTGGGTGGCAGCCATCGCATAAACAAGGATCAGAAATAGGTGTGCGGGGAAAGCTAAGTCCCATTTAGAAGAGAGTGCCTTGATAGATTTTTTATGCCCGTGAGCAAACCAGAAACAGTGTAAAATCATTCACTGCATCCTTTTCCCACTTGATTTTCTGGTCCCCCTTACGGAAGAAATTGGAACTGACACACAGTGCTGCCTTGGGATGAAACAATGGTGGGAACGACATGAATTCTTTGGCTTCCAGGGGCTGAAAGGGACGTCCCAGCTCTCTCCAAGGCAGCCCTGCCTGTCACACCCCACCCCGCTTACATCCTCCCACAGCTGGTGCTTCTCACTGGAGACCCTCCCCCAGCACGCACCCCTCCCCATGGGACGGCCAAGTTCAGGCATCAGAAATGGGTTCAAATCCCGGCGGGGACCTAACGCACAGGAATCCCGACTTTCATGGCCCCGTTTCCTCACCTGTGAGATGGAACCGTGCTCAGGAGAACAGGGAGCAGTGCTCTGACCAGCAGCACAACCTTCCTCAGAGGCGTTAAAGAACCATTTGCCCATTGAACCCGGATAGTGTAAGTTCACGCGGTCGGGGGGCTGGGGGTGGAGAGAACCCCAGGCATCCTGTCCAGCTTGTCCAAGCGTTGGCGAGTGTCCCTCAGGAAAACCTCCTGGATCCAGCGCCCACCCACCGTGACGCGCACACAGTGGGGCCAATAATCCAGAGCTCCGCCCCCAACCTTGGGCAAAGACTTCATTGCTCTGGGCCCAGCCCCCTCTGTAACAGGAGGCGGGCACTTCATGTCTGAGATGCCTTCTGACTCCACAAACTGTTAACACGCTGGGTTTCACCAACCGCTAAGTGAGCTGCTGCCACGCAGTTTTCTGGGTAGAGGTGTTGAGAAACCACACCAAGCAGGGATTTTCAAGTTCTGAGGCTAAAATGGTTAGGCTTGCCTGGCTTCTATTTGCTCTCCTGGGTCACGTGCAAACAGTTTCCATTGATCAGGCTTGTTTTCCACTACGTCCGTAAAGAGCTCCTAGTTTAGTCAAGGTAGGAACATTACAAGTAAGTAAATTGCCTGCTGACCAATGAAAAGAAATCCGGTAAGGCTGTTGATAAAATCACGTTTCTTCCTGGCATTTTCTCCTCCTTGAGCAGCTGTCTTTCTTCAACCCTTAGTTGGCTGCTGGCAGCCTCCCTCTCCGGCCCTCCCTGCCACCTCCTCCACTTTTTTGACGACGGTGGGAACACGCACCTGCGCACCCCACTCAGAAGACAGAACTCCTCGGTGGCGGGGATGGCGATGTTCACGGACTCCTCTCAGGGTTCTTTCTCATTTCCCGCCTCCCCTGCACTTAGACCGGCCCCAGGGACTGACCCTAGGACTGTGGATGGGAGTGACAGTGCCGCTGTGCCCGAAGGCCGTGAGGGACAGTTCGGAGTCCTCTCTGCCAGCAGTGACCTGAGGTGGCAGAACTGCAAGGAGGACGCTGCTGGACCCTTGGCCACCCTTAGAACCGCCTGGTGCATCACGCCGGGGCACCATGGACAGTAACGCTCGTCAATTACTGAGCTGTCACGGTTCCTCACCTCAGCCTACCTAGTGCCTCCCTTCCAGGAGTATTTCATTTAAGCGGAGATTCTAGGGAATGGGCAGTGCTAAACACGACGGAAGGAACTTCTCCTAGTGGAACTGTGATGCGGATGTGACCACAGCCGTTGCGGCAGCATCTGCGGAAAAAGAGATGGCCTCAGGGAGCCTTCTGGGTACCATGGAAACCCGGGCTGCAGGCTCCTACGCTGCCTGGCTCCAGAAAGGGAAATTTTGAGACATTCTTCTTTCAGGCAGAGAGTCTCCAAGTCAAGTTTCCAGACAGAGGCCAACCAAGGGAACCTGTTTTCTAGAATGGTCTTGGAAAAGTGGTCACCTGGTGCCAGAGATAGAAATCCCTTTTCCTTCCTGCCCCAACTCGTATTGTCAATTATTAAAACACCTAGTTGGCCCTCTCCCAAAATCACACGAGGGCCCAGAAAATTGGATGACTTGGAACCATTTAAGAATTCACTGGGAAATAAATCTGGGGCCTGGCTGGCATGACTCGGTGGTTGAGTGTTGACCTATGAACCAGGAGGTCACATTTCAGTTCGATTCCCGGTCAGGGCATATGCCCAGGTTGTGGGCTCGATCCCCAGTGTGGGGTGTGCAGGAGGCAGCTGGTCAATGATTCTCATCATTGATGTTTCTATCTCTCCCTCTTCCTTTCTCTCTGAAATCAATAAAAATATATAAAAGCAATAAAAAAGATGGCCTTTCCTCCATGCCCTAAAGATCCCCAGATTACTTCTCCTCTGGCTGATGGAAGGCAAGGTGGTCCACTCCTTAGAAGATTCCAGGGGATGGAGGCTGAGAAACATGAGCAAAGCCACAGCTCTGACCTTGACTGCCCCGAAGTTGCCCGGGAAGAAGGCTGATCTCTCAGTGACGAAGGAGGAGCCATTCAGTGCTTTATGGACCACAGACCATCGCACTCTGAGGCAGGCCGGCGGCATGGGTGGTGGAACCTGATGGACCACCCTCCCTGCAGCTCAATGCACACAGCGGCCTGGCAGCTCTCTGCTCTGCCCTCCTGTAGCTTCTGGACTCCTTCCAAGGGGAGCAGTGGCTGTACCTGCAACGGCTCTGAAGTGGCACCAAGCCCAGCGTTGCTAAGTCGGAGGAAGTGGACTTAGTCCAGGACCAGTCTTTTGATGGGAATCATGGAGCTCTAGACCAGCGGTTCGCAGCCTGTGGGTCGCGACCCCTTTGGCGGTCGAATGACCCTTTCACAGGGGTCTCCTACGACCATCCTGCATATCAGATAGTTACATTATGATTCATTACAGTTATGAAGTAGCAACGAAAATAATTTTATGGTTGGGTCACAACATGAGAAACTGTATTTAAAGGC